GCAGCGTAAGCGGGACTTATAATTTAATTTGGAATTCTTAAATTATATGGGAGGGTGCCTTATGTTTTCCTTTGAGAGCTGTTGGTCTCACCTACATAAATCTGGTTTCTCTATTTTTGTTTATGTAGCAAGCTAAATACGTCACACATCATGGTTCTTACTTATGATTTACTAGAGGACGGACACAAAGATGACTTCACTATGAACGACTTTTTTCTTTTTTTTATCAAATAACACAAATGGACTCCATGTTGCTGTGGGTCTGTACAGTAATAGATCACATGACCTTACATAGATTATGACGTCATCTCTGATCTGTTACTATGAGTAGCGAGATTTGATCAAAGATGTACCTCATGTGCAATTTCATATCTACTCGTGTAGGAAGCAATGCTCATCTGAATTTTAGTAATAGGAATTATAGTAATTATTGGGATTTCTCGTAATAACATTTCTTAGCGCTTTACTTTTATTACGAGGCCATCTGATGTCCTTTAGCCGAATTCGTTTGATTCGTTTCGATCGCTTTTTGCATGATTTATTTTTTATTGTCTGAGCATCTGGCAGAATTTTCAATACCATCTTCATTCTACTATGCACGGGTATTTTGAATCGTTTTTAACAACAACCTTCTTGAAACACGTAAATCGCTCTGACAAAGGGCTAAGGCTCGAAACGTCAGCTTTAAAACTCTTTACGGTGGCCAATGTACGTTATCAACTCAGTTAATAAAACTAAATTACCCTGTTATGCTCTTCCACCGACGCAGCGGCACATTTTCTTAAGAAAATTACCGTCCTTAATTAAAATATATATTTAGCAAGATGGAAAAACAACCAAATGGAAAGGATGACCCTAAAATTTCACAGTTTGTTTGAGGGTTGCGTAGATTTGCGCCTATTAAAAATCATTTTAATGATCTTTAAAATTCTTGGCTTAGTTTAAAGAAAGCCCTTTAAAAACTACTTATTTACTTTTAGGGGGTTTGAAGGAAGGCATTAGCCCCATTCTTCTCCCGGTCGAAAATTGCGGAAATGAAACTGATGACGAGTGTAGTTTGGATTCAAATTGTTTTCATGAAACAAAATGCTGTTCGGATTCTTGTCAGATGTTGTGTGTTCAGCCTCCACGAAGTCTCCTATATTTCCTTTGTTGTCGCCTTTCATAACTTAGGGACTTTGAAAGTGTAAACAGAGAGGTGCAAAAAAAGGCTTAGTGAAACAATGCCCTTGCGCCCCCTTCCCCCCGAGAAAAAGTTGAAAAGTGTGCTACTCAAGCAATTGAATTCCTTGAAAGTGGAAGCCTTAACTTTTTCTGTAATTAACAGACCTCGTAAGTGCGCCGTCGTTATTTCACGATTCCTAGATACCGTTTAGGACGGTGTGATTCACAGAGGTGTCGCTCCAGTAAGAGTTTGCCGCCTTCTAGTTCGCCCCCATCAAGAAGAATTCTGCCCTCCATCAAAAATAATAGATTCTCCTCCATCTCTATCACTTGCCTCATGGTCATGACGCAGTGACCTTTCTGCGCTCGGTCCGTTGGCTATGACCTCAAGCTAAATATGCACAAAGCACCTAGTTCAATTCTTGTGTAGCGAGAGGATGCAATGATATCCTTTATGCTGGCTACAACACCAATGGTGTTATTCCATCAACCCTGACAGAAAAACAGAGTTTGAGGTGTATTGCGACCTAGAGGCCAACAGTTGAGGATGAATTGTGTTCCAAAGGCGACAGGATGCATCTGTTAGCTTCCATCGCACCTGGAATTACTA